TTTTTATACAGTCTTGGAAAAGATAGTTCTTAAATAAAATTTGTTCTCTTTACTAGATCAGCTAGAGGTTTTAGATATACTAGTATCAATATATTACTGCCTTGGCAGCCTGTAAACATGGTGAGTGTGAAGTAACTGGCCAGCCATAAAATGGGGATAGAACAATTATTTAATTTCTTTCTATGAACAAAGGATCTTACAATTTCAAATATAAAGCTTGAAAAAAGCCCTCCTCACCTCTCTTTTAACACAATACACGGTAAACTTAATGGAAAAAAAAAGTCTTTCATTTTGAAAAGAGAATCATTTAAGAAATGAAACTATAAGAAAATGAAAATTGGAAACTAAATTCCAATAAATGTTGATTCAGTGTCATTTGCTAAATAATGTGAGCATATCAGAGTCATCACAATTGCTAAGAGTCTGCAAACATCCTTTCCTTCTGTCGTAGGATGAAATGAAAGAACTTAGAAATACGTATTACGTATAAGGCTCTAGGCACTAGTCCAGGGTCTGACTTCAATATACATTATAAGAATATATATGAATAAGACAGTTAAATTTGTACTTCTCAAAAACAGAATGTATATTTAACCTATAGCCAACAAATATAAAAAGGCACAGTGAATAATTGCAAGTACAGTGGATAATCTGGTGGGAAACAATGAATAGTGTTTTCTTTCATCTTGTGAATACTTGATCCTCTTGCCTAGGAAAAAAACAGAAACAGTCCCAACTTCTGCCTATTGGCTTCTCTGGGAATTGTTATGTAGTTCTTAACTACCGTGAGACACGTGGTAACTCAGGAAGCACCTACTAAGTAAAAGCCTCCTTGATATTCGTTTTACACTGGTGTTTCTCAGCGTCCTATAGAAATAGTTCCTGACCTCCATAGTTCTGAGCCATCCATCAGATACCGCGGGAGAACTCTCTGATTGCTTCAAGGAGGTAGTGCTCCTGCATATAGCTGTGGATAAAATCGTAGTTTTAATGATTCACTAAGTTTACCTGACGTAAAAGCTCATCTGAAAGAGGAAAGGTATTGCATGATAAAGTGAATCACAGTGCAACAAGGTGTATAGAGCTTGCATCTCTGAAAGCTTGGGGAAGGGTCACCACTGTCCCAGCAAACATGGTACCCCACGAGGCAAAGGGAATGGTTAAGTCCATATCTCGAGTCACAGTTGTTCTGGGTTGTGAGAAAGGATGTTAAGACAAGCTTATCATCATCATCTTTCACTTCTAAAGAGAAATTTTCTTTCCAAGTGACCTTAAGAAAGGGGCCCAAAAGAAGGTGCTGTAAAATCATGATTTCTATTTAAATACGTGAAAGAAGAAAGAGATACATAGTTTTGGAGGGGAGTCAAAGGGTGCGATCACTAATAATCAGCATGCCCTGGGTCTGCCCTGTTCTTCTGGAAGGGCTTTGCTGTCCTGATTTAAAAGTCAGGCCAATAGTTTCCTTTGACATGGCATTTAGTGTGAGTAGTAATTCTCCCATTCAATGTTAACTATCTTTGAAGTAGTTACTCTTATAATCTTCATTTTACAAATGAGGAAACAGTCTCAGGGTAAGTAGCTTGTCCAAGGACTCTATGTATGTTACAAACTACATTCTTCCCAGAAGCACTGGACTGAATTTGTAAGTTCTTCTGATTCCTATATTATAGAAAAATGTACTTAATATCAGATGATTTTTTTCTAGAAAATGTATCTAGATATTAAATGCAGATGATTTTAATCTGCATTGTTTTATTATTACCATTATAATTATTAGACGATTAAACTCTATCTAGTTGATATATGTAGAAGGTGAAATTACTTCATAACTCTAATCCCAAAGCAAAAACCAATCAACAATTTGATGTATATTCTTCTAGGTAAATGAGTATGTTTTAATTTACAAAATACTGCATTTATGTAGCTATGCCATTTTCCCCCCTTAACCAGTCTCCTTATGAGTTGAACTGTTTCTACTTTTTTTGAAATTTCAAAACAATGCTGCAGTTGATTTTGAAATTTCTTCTAAGGAATAAATCTATATATGAGATAGTTATTCCCTTTTTCTTTTTAATCTTCAGTTATTTTGTATTCAAAAAATGGCATATTTCCCCCCAAACTTCACTAATAAGGAAAAAAATATTGGTTATATGGTAACCAGGAGTTTGCCTGCATATAACCAATAAATAGACCCACCAATCACTACTTTCCTTAATGACTAAAATAAAGCAAAGACCCTGGATGACCTACAGAAAAAGAAAAAGAGGGAGCGTGAAAGTACTGAGGAAAGCACTTGTGTGATTGATTTCTATTTCTGTATCCCTAATGGAGCAGAATCCTTTAATTAAGTTTGTTATAAATGGGATTTTAATTATTGTTTCTATTGAAATCTAACTTCTCTTGTTATATAAGTAATTTTATAAAGGTACCTATGGAACAGCAACCTCATGGTCATTTCCCCCCCTATCTGACAAGTAAGTTTAACACAGTTCCTTGAATTAAATCCCTGTGAAAACTGCAGAGGTAGAAGAAAAGATGAAATCGAGTGAAATAGATCTACTAGGTGAAACCTTTTTCTAGAATAGACTAATAATAATAAAATAGTATTGTGTGCTCCCAGAGGGTTTTTCCGTATCAGTTTTCTTCCATCACACCTAACAGATTATAGAAGTTTCTGTCTTTGGGAAGATCCTTTTCAGGCTCTATGCATACCCACAAGATAGATAAATGTCAAAAGGTGCATGCCCAAAGGCACACTGGGGCGAATCTAACTACTCTGAATTGTCAAAGTAAGTGGATCAGATATGAGAGGGAGGATACAGGGCCAAGTAAATGCAGAGTTGGATGAAGACATGAGATAGATGGATAGATATTTTAAATTGAGTGTTTATATATTCTATGCAATATAATAGGGCTTTGCATAAATTATGCTTCTTAACCTCTGAAGTAGGCATCTTAATTAAGATGCGGAAATTGAAGCTTAAAGCTGAATCATCCATGATTTTGCACGTAAGAAATGGCTCACTCAGTATTCAAACTTGAAACTGGAAAACACACACACTCATTCATTCAACATGACTAAGTGACTCTTATGTGCTAGGTTTATACTAGGCATCTCAGATCAAGCGGGGAACAAAACAGACCGAATCTCTTCTGCTCTCATACAGTTTATATTCTACTCAGAAGAGACAATAAAAAATACAAGCGTGTGGTGTAGCGGGGGCTAAGAACCATGATGAAAAAAGTGAAGCCAAGGTAGGGGAAGAGATCATGAAGGCGGCGAGCCTAAGACCGTTTTTTATAGGGAAGAAGACATCTAGCAGAGACTTGAATGAAGTGTATAGCTCTGCCATCAAGCCGTCTGGATGACAGGCATTTCTCACAAAAGGAAAAGAGCAAAGACCCTCAGGTGGGAGTTTGCTAGCTGTGGGAGGAACGCTGCAGGGGACCAGTCTGACCAGACAGAAATGTGCCGGGAGTGTTGCCGGAGGAGGAGGGTGTTAGGAGGTGAAGCAGAGTAGTTACCAGGGAAAGACCACACAGCTCTTCATTTGGCATTTTGTTCTATGCGATAAGGAAGCCAGTGGAGAACTATTATTGGAAGAGAGACGACAGGTTCCTAGTGTTAGGAGGATGACTCTGGCTGCTGTGGGGAGAACAGATGGGAGCGAGAAAGACAAGAAACAAGTTAGGAGAGTGATTCGCAACCCTATCAAGTCCAGTGCATTTTTTAAAATAAAAAATAGTAAGAACGCCTTCTTTACTATTCTGAATAAACCTGCACTACCTATACAGCAGATTACCAAATAAAGCAACACTTAGAATAATACAAAATTTCAAAAGCCCTGATCAGGCTACAAACATACCACAGGAGAGAAGACAAGCTCAGGAAAGTCTTTCTGGGTCCCTGCCATACTCCATCCCCCAAAGCTGTATTTCTCAACATGGATCAGAGTAAGAGACAAGAACAGAAATCAGTGCTTTAATTCCAATATGTCATCTCAATGCTATCATATACAAAATACTCCCAAATATTCCATGGTACTATTTCTCAGCACACTGGAAAACAAAATCTGCTTTCCTTTGACTTCCACTAGGTCAGGGTGATTTACATAACAATATTGGCTGCAAAGGGGGGACTCCTTGTTGAGACAGTTTCAGAGCTTGAATCAGCTACGATGAAACACAGAAAAAAGTATTACCTTCTATCAAACACAGAAAATGTGTGATTTCACAATGTCTCTGTGCGGTACTACTGTTTGACAACCATGATGTTGAACTGCACTAAATATTAATTTGTATAATACAGTAGTCATAAAACTAGGCATAAAACACAGCAGGGGAAATTGCATTTTCCTACTGTTAAGACTATTGTTACAGTCTTCTGGTACCTCATGCTGTCATCTTCCTTAGCAGACTGATGTTTATTTTCCCAGCACACATTGACTGCCATCAGTAGCATTACTAACTTGTCTACAGTTCTGTTACCCTCAGAAGCAGTAAATCTTGCCGAACGAGAAAGGGTCTTTAGATTCAAAAGATACTCGTAATCTCCTGCCATGAGTTTAATCAAAATTCAGAAATGACATGTGGACGCTTGCTTCTAGCAAACACAGTTTATGTTAAACCTGGGAACAGCTTTGGTCTTGATCTATAACTCATTATGATGTAGGGCCAGGAATAACTTCAGATGTTGTTTTCCTCCGTTTTTACGTGTGCAGTCTGTATAAATGAATGTCACAGCTCTCTCATCTCACTAAAGAAGGGTATTTGCCAAATAGGTCCCTTCACCCTTTCCAGAGGCATTCCCTGATTGATTATTTCTTAATCTTCTTGTTCTTGTCACAAACTGTGAACCTGTAAATTTGATTCCATTTTTTCCTGAATACCCACAATGTTTTTTCTACAAAAACTACAGTGATTGAAAACATACTATTTAAAGGCAATTTCTTCCTCTTCTATTTGGTTCCACTCCTGTCTCCTTTATTCTTGGCTCTCAATATATATTCACATCCAGACAGACCCCTCTCACTCTTGCCACACACACACCCCTCCTGCCAGAGACCTGCCGCAGGCATGCTTCCACAGGATAGCTGATGAGAGCAAGAATATGACACCTGGGAGGAGATGGTTACAAAGCTGACCAGACACTGCGTGCTGTACTGTTTCTCTGCCTTCTCCCATGCGAGTGCTGTGGCCTTTCTTGATCTTTATTGCCATTTTAGAAGTAATCTCAAAGTCTGGAGCATTCTTAGCTCAAACCTAAGCAAAAAGGAAGAATAGAGAACAGTTACAGAATTTCAGAAATTCAGAGAAAAGAGGTTACTTTGATGTGTTTCAAAACCTATTCACTTTGCATGGATGGGAAAGTTAGCATCAGGAAGGGAATTTCGGAATTAAGGACATTGAAAATATCTAGTAAGAAAGAAACTCATGAATTGGCTAATTCCACCAGATGTGGAAGGATCAGAGGTATGCTCTCTCTTTTTGGCAAAGGTAAACCCTACAGTTCCCAAACAACTACAATGATTCTTACTTTCAAATTCCCTAGAGAGAGAAAAAAAAATCTGGTTTACTCCACCTGTCATTCACATTCTCATCTAGATTTTTGCGTTGATTAAAGGTAATATATTTTGCTTACTGATTCCATTTCTGCAAATGCCTTTCTGTCTCATGCAAACCTATGATGCAGAGCGGCAGATCCGAGCCACTGTGCACTCCTGGACAAGAGACAATCTTAAGACTTAAGGCTGAGGTAGCTCCTCCTTTCTAAAAGCTCCCTGGAGTTACTCATAGTCATTTACATCTTCTGTTGAAAATCACTAATGCAAAGGTTTCTGTGTTGTGCAGGTTCAAAAATTTAAAATTAGATGAAATATTTCTGCATTAATTGCCATTTTATTGTACTCTTTTTATATTTAAAAGAATTTCAAAACCACTGCCTCTTTATTTGAAAATATCTGCTATCATTTTTCCCTTTTTCAAAAACTGCCTATTTGTATTTCAAACAAGTTTGTCCCAGATGTAATGGAGTTAGAAATGGAGTTAGAAATTCAAAAGCCACAATGGAAGTTTTAATTATCTAAACCGAGGAATCTAGAGTTGACTGGTGAATCTTCCCACGACAGCCCGTGAAACAGACTAATCACAGGCCACTGGCTCAGTGGACATTCAATAAATAACAATCGGTGAAGGTGATAACGTGTTGCTCTAAGTTGACTCCAGTTTTAAATAACCACTCTCAAAACTGCGCCTTAAAAATGGCATGAGCATAAAAAATACTTATGGGTGACAGTTCTCTTCGTCCCTTCCAAACGAATGCTTTGGTTCTGGCAGACAATACTGGATCTCTAGTATTTGGGTTTTCATTTTGGAAATCCAGCATAAGAATAGGAAAACACCTTATATATGAGTTACTACTGTCAATCAGAAGAAAGAGTTAAAATTTAAATAATAAAAATTAATTACATCTATATTGGAAAAGATTAAAAGAAAACAAATCAGGAAACGTGAGTTGGTGAAATAATTTAAATAAAGGAATAAAGTTAGACTGAAATTATAGACATGGACAAATGGAAAATGCTTTACGAGGGTGGCAACAAAGGAGTGTGACAGTCACAGTATGTTTACACTGGTATCTGAATTAAGGATGGCAACTCTAACATTCATTGGGAAAGAAAGTTTAGGTACCAGTACAAGAAAAAATTACCTAATTTTATCCTTAATAAAACACTTGGACGATATAAAACTAAGTTACGAAATTTCTTATTTAAAATACCTTAAAGATATATTTAAGAATGATTACAATAATTCACCCAATTTGCTATGAATTTAAGTAGAGCCTCCTACTTCAAAATCTGAATTTCTGGGTCTTTTTCTGCTCTGGAACAGCTCAACATCAGGACTTCCCTAAAGTCAAGTAAGGCCTCCGTTTCTTTCTTCTACTAGCAGATTAATGTATTTTTCAACATCAAAATAAGATTTATAAACAGGGTTTCCCCCACCGAAATCCCTGGGAATATTAATAAATGATTTAGTAAAATAAAAAAATGATTTAGATGTATGTGCCTATTCCACAACTCACATCTATAGTTACCACAGATGCATTAGAAAATAACCAACCTACTATTATGTAGCGGGGGAGGGAGGAAATAAACGTTAAATGCCTACTGATCAACAGTGAAATCTTTCAGTTTCTCTTCTGCTCCACAATGAATTCTAAATTAAATGGTATTCTTGAATGTTCTAGATGAGGATACATTTTTTGAGCAATAGTTTTTCTTCTCACATGAAATGCAGCATCTTGATTATGTCAGTCCTTCCCTTTTTGGCCTTCACAGATGGACTGCGGGAGAAACCGTTTCGTCCACATTGACACTGACTATACAAAACAAGTAGTGGCCTCTACTTCAGGTATAAAAAGGAAGTACACAGAAGGAGCTTCTCACAAAACAGTAGCAACAGTGCTTATGTCAGAAGATTTAAGCACCTGGAGAGTAAGTACCCAGAAGAGACTTAAAACGTGTACAATAGTCAAAGAAGCATTATTTAGGAAAAATTGAAATCATTAAGAAACAAACCTATAGCAATTGACAGCACAGAGAATGGAAGAAATGCATAGGCACTCCTTTGAAAACTGTTAACTCTTGTAAATGAGGCAACAGCATTCCCTAACGTTAAGAACTGGACTACTCACAAAAATCAAAAGCAGAACCCTAAAAAAATCCCATGATCAGTGTTATCTTTTGGGTTCAAGATGCCAATTTTAAAAACTGTTATAGTAAATAATTTAAACAACTTCTGTGTTTTATCAGGAGATTTTTTAATAAAATACTTGAGTGTTACTATTATGAGATCTGATGATGGTACCAACAATGCTTTATTTGAAAACAAAAGATTATCTAATTAAATGCCTTTCTAGGGAACTGCTTGCTGAACTCTCAGAAAAATTTTATATTGATAAATCACACACTATGTTTCATATTAAGACACTCTACTACACCCACACACATCACAGAAGATAGAGCTTGTACCATGTTATTTGTGCTTCTGCAATGTCCCTTCCCCGTTCCTCCTGTACTGTACTCTCGTTTGTTAACTGTGCAAATAACTGAACTATTTCTTTTCCTCACTCCTTGTCCACTTGATAAGGTCACAGGCATCCTTCAAAATTCAGCTACAGTGACTATATCTTTATGAAGCAAAACCTAGACCCTTCACAATCATGTGCTGGATTGTGGACACCCTCAACCCCCCTTCCACGGTTTCCTATATTCCCATAGTGTTTCCTGTAGGAGACTGAAATGTGTTACAGGAGAGGACATGCAGAGAAAATGGCAAAAATAGTTCTCAGTTATGATTCCTGATATGTGACTTATGAATTTATTAGCAGTGTAACTTTAATCAAATTGGTCAGTCTTCTGAGCTTCACTTTAGTCATTTTAAAGTGGAGCTAAGTAGGCCTACCTTACAGGTTACACTAATGGTGAAGTGAGCTCAGACGTGTGAAGCCCATCACACGGCACTGGTCCTGAGTAAACAAGAAAGGACAGTCGTTATCATGACAACCACAAGGATGAGGATAACATGCCCTCACTAGACCATGGGGTCTTTGAATATTTGACGACTTTTAAAGTAAACCTTAGTGATATTGTTACCTCCAGGGCCCAGGAACTACTGTTACAGATTATCAAATCTTTGTTAAATTTTAAAACTGTAAGTAGCTGCTCAGGAGATGATGTGTAGCAAATAAGAAAAAAAGCGTTAAGAGGACAAACAATTTAATACTACATATGGAAGGTAAACTTAAATTTTAACTAGTGGTCGACAGGTAACCATTGACATATTTAAAACAAGGAACTGACATGATAAATATCACCATTTTAGAAACATAACAGTCCATTGAACATGTTTTTATTCTATGTATCTAAATGGAAATATTTATTAGTTTCAGCCATGAGTTCTCGTGTCTATTATAGATTGTAGAAAAGGGATCAAGTTTAATTATTATTTTAAAGGACATTTTTATTCATTTTGTTCTACTTATTAAATATTATTATATCCAGGATTTGCATCTTTTTACCCTGTGTATTTCATACTGTCTGCCATATGTACATTTTTGTGAAGGCAAAATGAGGAAAATGTATACAAGGTTGAAAGTTCATTAAAAGGCTTGTAACCAAATGTTAAAAGCTAAGTAATTATAGAAAAAATAATATAGAATTATAATAATTTTCTAGTTGCTATTCATAGGGGAAGAAAACTCTTGACAAGACGAGAAAGGTCCCTTAACAGATTGGTAGGGCATTAAACAAGATTTCATTCACATTTCTGCATTAGAAGATAAGAAGTAGTAGCTTTCATGCTTTTTTATGCTCTTAATACTCTGTAGAACTCTCCTTAAGCCTCAGAGGCTATTTGCCTTTCTTCACAATGTACTCGTCTGTCAATCTTTAAAGACTTGGAAAATCTGAACAACAAATCCTCTAAAGCAAACAACATGTGTCTTAAGTGTATCAATTTGCTAACATGCATTTAGTCTTTCCCATTACTATTATTCCTGCAGTAAAAGCAAAATGTCAACTGTGAGTTGGGCTTTAAGTAATTTTTAAAAATAGAAAAGCTAGTGATTCTTACAGAAAAATAATATTAAGCATGAAATATTGGATTACTATACATTGAGGTTAAATGATATCACTTTACCTAATTAACAATACTTTTAATCAAACATGAACTCAAATTTTATCTTATAAGGACATCTTTTGTTGATGTATATTTCAAGGACTCTCAGTTACATACCTTCCTTTGAAAAACAGTTGGCTAAGATCAAGAAACTGTCCTTACATAGCTATAATGTGACCATAATAATAAAAAAAAGTGTTTTATTATAATTTCTTAGGAGCTACAAGGTGGCTCCACCAAGAATGCAGAAATCAAAGAAATAGATTACCCTCTAGGAGTCAAAGAAAGAAGACAATGGGGCAAGTGTGCAGAACTAGAACCCTACATATGTAACTATGTAAACATTGTGTCCACTAGAAGTGCTTATTAGCCCCAAGAGCAGAGGGAAGTGGTCACCAAGGCAAACGTTGTGAATGCCCATGTCACCACCATATAGCAGAAGGAAGCTTGAGGTCTCCTTGAATCACCAGTACAGAGATGAATGTAGGTGATTACGGCCAGTGGATTTTAAATATTCTTATCCCCAAAATGAACATTGTTAAGTTTTTCTTCAAAAGTTATTGTTTAAAAGATGAAAAGACAAGCCACAGATTGGGAGAAAATATGTGCTAAATGTATATATGATCAAGGGTCTCATCTCGTCAAGACGATAAGAATTCTTATGGCTCAATAATAAGACAGACAATCCAATTTACAAAAGGTCAAATAGACATTTCACCAAAGAAGACTGATAAATGAAAAGATGCGTATGAAAAGAAGTTTAACATCATTAGTAATTAGGAAAAAGCAAAATAAAACGACAAAGAGATACCACTATATCCCCACCAGGACGGATAAAATCAAAAAGACTGACAATACCCAGTATGGGCAAGGATGTGGAAAAATAACCCTCATGTATAGCTGATGAGAATTTGAAATAGTAAAACCTCTTTGAAAAACAGTTTAGCAGCCTCTTAAAGATTAAATATACACTTACCATATGGCCTACAAGAAATGAAAATATATGTTTACACAAATACATACATGAATGTTTACAGTATCTCTATTCATAGTCAAAAAATATAAGCAATAAAAAGATAAGCAATTGTTCAATAGATAAATAAATAGTCATCCCTATATTAGAATAGTACACAGAAATAAAAAGGAAAACTGACATATTGCAACCATATGAATAACTCCCAAAGGTATTATGCTAAATTAAAGACATCAGACAAGCACACAAAAACTGCTTTGATTTATAAGAAATTTCTAGAAAATGCAAAAACCATGGAAACAGAGCAAAACAAATTATTGGGGATGAGGGATAGAAGGAAGGATGGGTGAATTGACAGGAAGAAAGTTTTAGGGATGATGAAAATGTTCTAAAATTAGGTTGTAGTGATGGTTGCCCAACTATATAAATTCAGTAAAACTCATCAAGCTGTACATTTAAAATGGGGGAACTTGGAGGCTATAAATTTTCCCACAATAAAGCTATTAAAAACATTAGTAAGACATGCAAGTCAAGGAAATCTCTATTTTCGTCTTATAAAATGAATGTTATATAAAAACTCACAGGGCATAAAATGATTTTAAACATGAGGAAATTCAAGTGACAATGTATGAAACATCAAATTAAAAATCAATCAATAGTTGGATATTTCCTAATTCTATACTCCAACTGGTTCCTTTCTTTAAACTATGAGACATCACTGAATTAGCTGAGCTAAAGTATGCATCATTAACTAATTAATTATAAATTTAAAACCAGGAATTTAAACAGATTCTGGTGATACCTGGAAGGAGATTTTAGATGATATGGCAGAGATTTAA